GGGGGTAGGCAGTGGCAGCAGGCAGAGTGGCGGGTGGAGGGACTGCAGAAGGGCAAGGTCAGTGGGCAGACAGGGAGTACATGACCTCAGTAACGAGAAGGGCAACAGCAGGGATGGTATCTGTGGTTGCCTGGAGCACTCACACCCTGTCCCAGCTCACAACTCCAGGTAGGGTTCTGCGTCCAGCCAGAAGTTTTCATTTCCATGTGAGCTATCCCAGCATTTCAATGTTGGCAAATTTTTTTTTTTTAATTAAAAACCCTTAGTGGGGGACCAGCAGTTGGCGTGATGGCTATGTTGTTGGACTCCCATGTAGTCAACTGTGGTTTGAATCCTGGACCCAGCAGCTTAAACTCACGCCAGGCGTGTGTGTGCATGGGTGCCCAAGATCCCGAGAGGAGAATGGAGGAGAAGGGATTGCAGCATGGCCATCTTCCCTGGGGGGTGATTTCTCTCTTTCTGTCTCTCTGTCTCTCTCTGTCTGTCTGATGAGCACATGCACCCTATAGCTAAAACCTCTGAAAAAAAAAACCAAAAAAAAACAAAACCAAAACACTCTTAGGGGGACCAGACAGAGCATGTCTGGGAGCCGCATGCAGCCTGTGGGGTTTCAGTGTTTGATCCTGTAGCACGGCCTTAGGATGGCTCGAAACGGAAGAGAGGGCATCATGGCTTCTTCCTGAGGCCCTTCTGCTTGAGAGGGAGGAGGTGGGAAGAGCTCAGTGACAGAAACAGCAGGTCGCCGCTATCGGTCAGGGCTCTCCAGAGAAACAGAACCAATAAGTTTATACGCACATGTAGACACCCATACATGTATACACACCCACACACATATACACACCCACACATGTATATACACACACACATGAGATACATAGATGCTAAATAAGATATACATAAAATAGCATCCTTATATAATATATATGTAGATGTACTATGTCTTATTATGAGGAATTAGCTCACACAGCTACGGAGGCTGAGAAATCCCACAGTCTGGGGGCCCAGGGAAGCCATTGGTATAATTCGGTCTGAGCCAGCAGGCCTGGGAACCAGCAGGCACTGGTGCAAATCTCAGTCCAGCTGCAGGAGAGGACCCTGCTCCAGCTCCAACCCATAGGCCAAAGAAGTGGCTTTTTCCTTCCTCCACCTTTTTTGCTAGAGGGCACATGCGCTCACTCACCAGAGAGGGAAAGTGAGAAAGCATACCTCTGCCCTGTCCTGGGGTGCCATCACCCTGCAGTCCCTTCCCCTCCACCTCTCCCCCCTTTTGGAACCTTGGACACACACGCATACACACCAGGTGTGTTTCTCAAGCCACTGGGCCCAGGGCTCCTCCTGTGTGATTAGCCATGTAGATCCAGCTGCCTTAGCCCCTGGCCATGGAGCCAGCCCATTTCCTCCCACCTTGGTTCTGCTCAGGCCTACAACAGACTGGACGAAACCTGCCCACATTTGAGAGAGGGGTCTACTTTACTGTGTCCACAGACCCAAATGCTAGTCTCCTCCAGACACACACCCAGAACTGTCTGATCTGTTCATCGGTACCCCCTTGCCTCCCCCCTTCCCCTGCAGCACAGTCAAGTTGACACATAAAATTAACCATCATGTTCCTCCCTTCTTTTTATTCCTGGCACCAAGCACAGCCTAGGGTGGGAAGTATTTGTTGAATGAATGGTTGACTCACCTCGGTGGTTCCACCTTTTCCAAACATCAAGGCAGCGCATGCCTGGTGGGATAGCAGCCCAAGGCAGGGAACTTCTTGGGCAAATCCTCCACTTAGCAGCTCATGAGTTCCAGTGTCCCCCGCCAGTCTCCAGTCAGACGAGGAAGACCAAGCCGCAGAGCGGTTAGCAGAGCACCAGGTGTGGAGTCAGCCAGCCTGTTCCGCATGTCCGATTTCTCTTATGTAAAATGGGCATAGCTCTTTGGGGTGGAACAGAGGAGGGAGCATTCTTGCCTTGTTACTTCTTTATTGTCGTTATCATCATCATCATCCGAGCACGTGGCTAACCTCTAGGGGCTGTGGCTGGTGGAAGCGTTATTGAGGCGCTCTTCTGGCCACACCCTGTGCACCAAGGTCAACTCCACGGTCACAGGCCAGAAAGGCTGGGTGCTCAGAGAGTCTCAGTAGGGATTAGAGTGCCCAGCACTGGATGCTAGAGTCTAAGTGTGGAATTCTAGCATTCAAAATCACTGCGGTGGTGTTCACTCAAGGTCGCAGCACTGGGATGCTAGAGTCTAAGTGTGGAATTCTAGCATTCAAAATCACTGCGGTCACAGCACTGGGTTCAAGGTCAGAAGACTGCCATCCACGGTCAGACTCTCCAAGTCCTTAACTAGACCCAAGGAGTGCATGCCGAGCGTCCCTCTTCCTCGCTGAGGCTCTAGCCGGCGAGGTCAGCAGACTGGTGTTCCAAGCTGGAATTCTCGGACAGAGTTGGAATTCTGAGGTTCAAGGTCAGGACACTTCTGCAGCATTCATGATCGGAATCCTGGCAGGCGCCTCAGAACACTGATGTTTAGATCGGAACTCTCATTCCCGACTCATTCTACTGTGAGTCTCGCCTCTCTGTGTCGTGAATGCTTCATCATCCACCCTCCTGGCAGCAGTTTCCGCAGAAATTCTGCAGAAGGTCCCTAAAACGCCATTCGGGCAGAGGGGTTCTGTTCTTGACACATCTTTCTCTTACTGTTTCTGACGCCATCTACTCAGGCATGCAGGGAGAGGTGACGGGGTCTTCAGGAAGGCTCCCCTGGCCTACCCTGTCCAAGATCCTTGAGCCCATTGTCACCTCCGTTCAAATTCACCGCTGGCCGACCTGCAACAGCCCTGGAACAGCCCTCCCCCCTGGGGGGGCACCTGGATGATCTCACGGCCCCATTATCCCAAGAGAGGGAGTCAGACAGGCAAGGGTCAGAGCCAAGTGCCAAGGGCTTGCGGCTGCCCTGCCCAGGAGACATGCGGCTGGGGACCTGGAACCGTTTGCTCGTCACTGTGGTCACCACAAGCACTGTCGGTGCCAACTGGAGAGGGTACTTCATTGATCGTGGGATGGAGAGGGCTAAAAGATCATTTTTAAACTGTTTGCAATGGTGTGAATCATGAGCACTCAGTGGGAAGGGGGCGGGCAGGGCGATCGACTGAGGCCCACGCCTTATTAATGGTTCTAACTGCCCCCTCCACCGCGGGCCCCATTCTTTGCCTCCCTTATCTTCCTTCCTGCACAGCCTTTTCTCCTTTCCTTTTTATTTTCTACATTTTCTATTGCTAGAAGGCATGTGCACTCACCAGAGAGGAAGAGAAAGCACCTCCCTTAGGGTTTTTAAGCCACCAGGATCGGGATTCGAACCATGGTCAGCCACATGGCTAACCGCTGTGCACAGGGCTAATTCAGAGACAATCATAGCTAAAGGCACCTACTTGGGTTATATTTTGTGAGGTGCTGTGGGATTTTACTTGATCAAATCCTACATTTGAGATTCTAGATCCAGGAAACAGAAGTTCTGAGGGAGGCTTTCAAACGATGGGTCCCCGTGAATTCAGCAGAAATGTGGTTTCGTTGGAGGTTGTGCTGTTCTGCGGTTGGAGGCGGTGGACAGGGGTCGAATCCCAGCCCCATCAGCAGTGCCTATGGCCTTAGACAGGCCACATCCCCTCTGGGAGCTGTGTCCTCCTGCTCCGTCCTCTCCACCTGAGGCC